GAACCAACCCTACTGCTCATCTAAAGTAGACTGGATAAAGAAAATGTGGTACATATACATGATGGAGTATTATGCAGCCACAAAGAAGAACAAAATCACGGACTTTGCAGCAAATTGGATGGAGTTGGAGAGCATAATACTTAGTGATTTATCACAGACACAAAGAACTGAGTACTGTATATTCTCACTCAAAAGTGGAAACTGAACATTAATCACATTAGCACAAGGGAGGGATCAGCAGTCACTGGGCACTGCCGGGGGAGGGGGGAAGGACACATAACCACACAAAGCATACCTGATCCTATACCGGGGGAGTGAGGACCAGATGGAGGCCTAAACTTCACCTGCATACAGCCTACTTGTGTAGTTAATCCTTACTTGTACCCCACATCTCTATTATAAAATAAAATTTAATTAAAAACAAAAATGAAAACAAATAATGCCATACAAAGTATAACAGACCACAGACTAAAGCCCTTCAGCCTGGGTTCAAATCCCAGCTCTTTCACTCACTTGCTGTGAGATATTGGGCAGGTTATTTAACTTCTCTGTTCCTCAGTTTCCTAATCTGTGAAATGGAGATGATAATATCAGTATGGATTTTATAGAATTGGTGTACAGATTATATGAATGAATTTCCATGAACTGCTTAGACCTGGCATACAGTTGCACAAGTCACGGACCTCACTGTGTGCCATGGTGAACATACAGATCTTTGAGTCTCTCCAGAGACACTGGCAGATATTTCTAAGCACGGTGACTAACAAAATAGCTCTTTCCCCCAACTTTTAATGACACAGGAAACATCCATCTCAACTCTCCAGGCTATAAACTGCTATATCATTTGGTTCTTTCTGGTTATTCCTAATCTCAACTCAGTTTTTTTGATTACCTAATTTTGCCTCCGTTTCTTCTTTCAAATGATTTGCTTTACTCCCATTCTAATTGTCATCTCTGTAGTTCCAATCCTCATTTTGTCGTACCTAGCCTAGAAGCCTCCTGACATCGAGTCATCCTGCAGTCCAGAACATCAATGACTTCCCCACTGTCCTTCATGGTACTCTCAACCCTCTCAACATAGTTCGCACCTGGTGTTCCCTTCTCCACCGCTGGCCTACATTTACCAGTTAAATTGGCTTACCTGCTGGCCATTATTCTTCATTCAATCAATACTTCCTGGGGAGCTCAAAAGCCAGTCTTTGCTTTCAAAAAGCTTGTGAAAGAGTAGGGCAGTAGACATCTTAGTCATTAAATCCTTGCATTAAAATTCTAGGAGTGTAACGCAGATTGCTAAATTCAGTTGCAGCCCAGATGCAGAAAGATCATGAATCTTGTGAGGAGGGGCTGGGGTCATGGAAGTCTTCACAGGGAGTGAAGATTGGGTGATATGAGGAGAGCTTTTCTTCACAGTTTTATTGAGGTATCATTGAAGTCCAGTAAATTGTACACTAAAGTGTACAATTTGGTAAGTTTTGACACCCATGAAACAATCTCCATGATCAAGAGAAGGAGCACATCAATCCCCCTCCAACGTTTTCTTCGGCCTCTTTGCAAGCTCTTTCTCCTGACCCTCCCTTCCCACGCAACCCCTGATCTGCCTCCTGTCACTGAAGGTGAGTTTGCATTTTCTAGAATTTTATATAAACAAAATTGTACATGATGTACTCCTTTTTATGTCTGACTTCTTTCACTCAGCGTAGCTGAGATTCATCCATGTCATAGTGTGCACGAACAGTTTGTTCCCTTTTATTCCTGAGTATTATTCTATCGTGTGAATATACCATATTTGGTTATCCATTTACCTATTGATGGGCATTCAGGTTGTTTTCAGTTGTTATCTATTACACATAAAGCATCTATGAGCATTTGTATGTAAGTCTTTGTATGGATGTGTGCTTTCATTTCTACCAGGTAGACACCTAGAAGTGAAATGTCTGGGTTACATGGTAGCAATGTATTTTGCTTTTCGGAAACTGCCCAATAGTCTTCCAAAATGGTTGTCCCATGTGATATTGCCTCCAGCCATGTATGCAAGTTCCAGTTGTTCCACACAAGAGGAAAGCTCTTAGTTCCACACAAGAGGGTTTTCTTTTCTTTGATAAGGCACAGCATGAGGGTAGAAGTATGTGTGATGTTCAGAGAACATCAGACAGTCAGAGTGGCAGGAGCGATTGAGCAAGCTGAGAGATGGAGCGGGTGACAAAGCAGAAATTTTGTTTTAGGCCAGTTCCTAGGGAGCTTGGTATTTGGAGTGGACATTCCAGGTGATGGAGACTCGTTGAAGGCTCTGCCTGCTTCTGCCTGCTTCTGTCTCTGGACATTTCATGAAGTTTCTCATCTTTACACTCTTCTCTCCCTCATGCTGTTCCCTTCCTTGGAACACCCATCCACTGTCTTGGTAATATCTATGAAATGTTCAAGACCCAGTTGAAATGCTCCCTTGTCTTCAAGTCCATCCTTCAATCCTGAGTTTTCTTAACCATTCCTTTGACCATAAACTCATAACCCTGAGTCACACCTCCAATTCATCTGGGGTCTCTGGTGGCAGAGACCATGGCTTGCTTATGAAAGATCACCCACAAGACCTATCCCTTTCAGAAGATATATCTTTAGATCTCTAGACACTTCTTTTGGTCTTATTTTTACATAAAGACCAAACTAAAGTAACATTTTAAAATCAACAAAAGTGTAAATCTCATTGCTCATTTTGCTGAGACCAAAATGAGAAGACGTGGACTGGTTCCAAGGAGGACGAGCAATTATTTTTTCCTTTCTCCCAGCTTCAGTTGGCGTAACCATCTCATCCTCTATCCTTTGCTCTTTTATGCTCACCAGGTCCCTTTCCTCAAGTGTGGCAAATTAGGTAATTAGTGCAAGAGCAACAATTTTTGCAGGGAAAATGGTTATGTGCTTATGGAAATTCAATAGCTAAAAATGTCGAAAGACACCATTTACTGGGCCTGGAGAAAGAAAGCAGAACTGCCAGCCAGCTCTCAGCAGAACTAGGGATAGCTGAGAAGTACCCACTAAAGAAGACTATTTTAAGGCACTGCCCAGGTGCTGGGTGCTCATCCTTGCTGGGCCTCTGTTGACACAGAGAAAAATAACCAGCAACAGCGGAAAGTTCCCAGAAAATGGTACAGGTGTGACTTTAAACAGCCTGATCAATGATCTTTGCTAGATTTACATCTTTTCCATCTCTTTCCCCAATTTCCCATAAGACATTTAAGTCATTAGAGAACACTGAACCTAATTGTTATTCTCTGAAAACCTATCATGATATTGGGGGTTTGGACTGTGCATTGGCTTTCAATTGTTTTAGCAACTGTACAGAGCTATCAGTAAAATGTATTTGATTTTGAAACATGCAGTTTGGTTTGTTATCATGTCAGGCATGTCACTGTCTCTGTGCTCACCCAGACTGGCAGGTGTTTCCAAATTCTAGTCTTGGTTCAGAACACACCACCTTAACTTTCCAGAACATACCACCTTAACTTTAGTGCATGTATTAGCCAAGGAAAGTACTGAAACACTTGGGCCGGGGGCTTGGCTATTTGGTTTTTTAAACTGCCTTAATGGTTTAAAAATTCACTTGGGCCGGGGGCTTGGCTATTTGGTTTTTTAAACTGCCTTAATGGTTTAAAAATTCTATGGCTCTGACACTGAATCAATATTAGGAGGATACCAGAGACCACTGCTACCATTTTCATTCCACAGCATGTTTTCTACTGTTTGAAAGCACGCCAGACTATGGCGGAATTTCCTCTGGTGTCTTGCCTGGACCACCTTGACTGGGCTGTGGCTCAGCCATCTCGTTTTGTTTATTATCAGCACCTCTGATCAGGGCGACAGAAGGGTGAGAGGGAAGCAAGCCAGCTGGAAACGCTCCCTCTCACAGCAGGAATGAAGCTTCCACAAGTAGCTGGGGGCAGACAAGGGATTCTATGGGAGAAGACTAGTAGAGACAGCTCACCGTCCTGAAGTCGCATGAACATCCAATATAGGACCCCATCTGTTTTGTTAAGTTGACAATTTCCTTCAGCAGGAAATAAAGGTTCATACTGAGTTTTAGACTAGCTCCAGAGTAATAAATAGCTTCACTTTTTAAAGACTTTGCTTTTTAAGACTTTTAGCATGTAAACTAATTTTGTTTGATAGAGTTTGTTTTTTCCTTCTCCATTTGCTGCCTAGAAATGTGTTTCATTATCTCCTGCAGGATTGGGGTTGAGAGGGAGAGCTGGAGAGTCTGAGTTCTCTTGGCCTCAAAAGCACTAAAATAGAATTTAAAACAATATTAAATGAAATTAAAATAAATTACAAGAGCAGCCATCCTAGTGGATTTTCTGTCTCACACGCTTTACACTACACTGGGAGCAGGCTGGGTGTGGTGACTCATGCCTGTAATCCTAGTACTTTGGGATGCTGAGGCGAGAGGATTGTTTGAAGCAGGAGTTTGAGACCAGCCTCAGCAACATAGCAAGACCTTGTCTTTACAAAATTTTTTTTAAATTAGTCAGGTGTGGTGGCACACACCTGTAGTCCCACCTACTTGGGAGGCTGAAGCAGAAGGATCACCTGGACCCACGAGGTTGAAGCTGCGGTGAGCCATGATTATGCCACTGCACTCCAGCCTGACCAACAGAGTGTGACTCAGACCCCCCCAAAAAACTCCGAGAAAACAAATACACAGAGAAGCTCAAGCTCAAAAGACATCACACTGGCACAAACACAAAGAGATGAGCAGATTTTATTCAAGGGAAAGTGGTTTTTATTTGAAGGAAAAATTTTCATCTACTTGGCTCCTTTTAGGATATAACACATCAACACTTTGTTTTAGATTTTTAAAATTCAAACCTTCCCAAGTGTACTAACATCAAGATAGGACTTTATCTTTAAAAATAATTATAATGGAGTGTGGTTTCCTAGAATAAAAAGTATTAATTTAGAATGGTCTTTCAAATGTTGATGTGACGGGAGGACACATGCACAAGCAATTTTACAACATCAACTTTTAATTTAGAAAGTGATCAAGCAACGATCAGGGAGAAAAAACACGCACAGCACTGAGTCCCTCAGCAGCACAGTCTTTCTGTGTGGCTTTGGGTGCCCTCAGCAGATGAAAATGAACTTATTTGATGTCACACAAGAGGGCCACTCCTCTCAGGATCCAGTGATCTGGGGACAGCACTGTTCGCAGATATACCACCGTGATGAAGGTCAAATCAGTTCGCCTGGGTTTCTTGTAAATAGGACACACGTACAACCTTGGGTCTTTGGGTGCTGTAGAGTTAATGGCAAAGATGTGCAGCACAGGCATTTGCATGAAGAGCACCTTGGGGGTGGATTCTGTGAGCTTCCCATTCCTTCTATCCCAGGATGCTCCATCCATATAGAGTCCATAAATATAAACACCTTCCTGGAAGAGTCAAGCGTAAGGCAATAGGATTTTTTAAAAATTAGGTGTTGCTAGATGGACATTCATTAGTGTAATAAAATTTGTGCGTTTGGGAAGAAAACATACACCAGTCTTAAAACTCTATCAGATGAAGAAAGCACCACTGGGAACACTGCATTCATGAAATATCGAACCCAGTTTTCTCCTGTGGCACATCTTGAGGCTGTAAGTGCTGCAGAAATGCTGCTGCTATTGGTTATTTGATTGTGGGGGTCACCTGCCGGGGCCAAGATTAGCCAGTCGCAGTAAATTACCTCTACAGGGAGCTACAAGTCTCCGAGCGGTCTGATTTAAATTGGGGTAAGGTGGGAGTGTGGAACAGGACGTGGAGCTGGTGTCACGTGGGATCTCAGCCAGCGGCTGGCCAAGCCAACCTGTGGCCAACTTCATCTGGTTAGAGGGATGAGTGAGATTTGGGATGAGTAAGATTTGCCGAGCCAGGCCTGGCTCGTGGGAGTCAGAGCGCCCCCAGAGGCCAGGTGAGGTAGAGCAAGGGGGCGTGGCAGGGGCAGGAGGGGGAGACTTATTTCCCAGCATCTGACCGTCCTCCCCGGTGTCTCTCTCATATAACGGGACTTGCCCTCAAGGACCTCACCATAAATTGGGGAGAGGAGACACATGTTACTGGAAACGTTTTTTGTTTATTTGTTTGTTTTTTGAGTTGGAGTCTCACTCAGTCGCCCAGACTGGAGTGCAGTGGCCGC